GGGGGGGGGGGGAACACAAATCTGACACTAATTTTGACATAGCTCCCTTCCTTTATCGTGCCTTTATCCATCAATCGTCTCTCAACCCTCGCCGGCCGGGGGGAGTGCCGCGCCCCCTTAGGGTTTTTTTTTCGCGATAGCTCCGAATACGCTGGTGATAGAGCTGAAACTTGACATACCTGACCTTTGATTCAAACCGGATCTTGAGACACCAAGATATATTGTATGCATTATCACCTTAACCCTCGCCCATGTAGGGGGGTTTGGTGCAACCCCCCCTGAGGTTTTTCGGAAATAGTGCAAAAACGGAGGCGCGCAGCGCCGCCAAATTTTGGGTACCTTATGGGGTAAACCTTGCGCATCTTTTGATAAAAAAAAATTTGACCGGGTCATGTCAGGTCACGGAGTTATGACGTCACAAAGGGAACAGCCTCCGGCCGGATTTTCACAAACTGAGTGCCAACGCCCGAGGTTTCCTGCCGGTGGTACGGACATCGGTTGATGGATCGTGATGAAACTTCCCATGCATGTTGGGGCAAGTATTGGCTATCATATGGTATAAGAAACTTGACCGGGTCAGGTCAGGTCACGGAGCTATGACGTCACAAGAGGAACAGCGTCCGGTACTATTTTTGAAAAGCGCCCGAACCACTATTTTGCTAATTCTTGTCACCTCAATGGGAATATGCAGCAATATTAGCTTCTATAGGGAGCAAATGGACCTTCCAAATCCAAAAATACAATCAGATTTCAAAAATTTAAATTTTGATTTTTCGAATTTCTGCCGCCGACTGTGACCTTGCCGACTTCCGGCGCTCCCAACGCGCCATTTTTAGAGCTAGGGAAACGAAATACATACCAAACGATAGAGAATTGATCAAGAAACACGATTGTGAAGGTTTCAAGTCGATATCTTCCACCGTTTTGCCGCAATCGCCGCGGAAAGTTGAAAAAAGTCTATTTTTCCGAAAATTTGACCTTTGACCGGTCAAAAGTAGGTCAAATATTGACCTAGGACCAAAAAATATACCACCAATCGCGAGATCTCGGCGAGAGCAATCCGTTGGTCTTTTCCGCTAAGCTCTACGACGCTCCGTTTTCAAACGCCAAGGGGGGGGTCGCACCAACCCCCCCTGCATGGGCGAAGGTGGCAGATCGCCGTTTACGGGCGAGGGTTAATCTATTCTTTGACAATTATACATATACCCATTCTGCATTCATATATATATATATATATATATATATATATATATATATATATATATATATATATATATATATATATATATATATATATATATATATATATATATATATATATATATATGCATTTGAGATTAAAATTAACAGCAGTTTGAGCGTTGTTGACTTTCTTATGAAGGTTCTCGATTCGTCGGATTAGCTGTCTTGTTTCACTATTATGTTCAAAAAGGATGTTGGAGAATGATTCTCTATTATATACGACGTTTCGTTCGGACATCGAACATCATCAGGTGATAAATTCAGGCGAACATATACACAGGAATGGGATAAATAATGCTATAAATGATTCGCATAATCGTAAATGATGCACATTAGTCGCTATCGGCACGGTGAAATCTTGGGTGAAATCATCTTACACTCCACTAGTTAAATGCAATGTTGCACGCTGCGTTCAACAGGAGCACTTCTACTGTCGGATACATACATGGGGTCCTAACTCTTAGCTACTACAGACCTACGTGGCTAGAGTCTAGGGAATCTAGATCCGGGCTTTGAGAGGCGCCGAATCAAACACCATCAGCGAACCACGCAAGTTCATTTGCCTGTTGATCCAGGGATCACTGTCACGAATATACACGGCCTCCAGAGCCTGCAGCTTCTTCCTGTTCGAGCATCGTGCTAAGACAGATGTGTTTTGCACCATCATATCTCGCGCGAGCTCCAGGCTGTGCTCCTGCTGCATGTGTCGCAAAGGTGCACCGTCCTGGAGATGCATTGTGATCCTACGGCTCATCGTTGTTACGGTGTGTCCAATGTAGGCAATGTGTCCAATGTAGGCAATGTAGACATCGTGGCAGTTACTACACCAAGAACTGCAGCGAATCCGCAGTATACTGGCAAATAACCATTACAACTCAGACATGGTTGAAGATCAGATACGAAGGCAGCTTGATAAACATCTCGGAGCTACGAAGCATTCTGTACGTCCAGCCGGTGTCCCGCCTACACAAGGGCACCGTCCAGAAGCAGCAGTGTCCCGTGACACCCGAAATGGACCAGAAGGGGAGCAACAACTAACATTGGCAGCCACGACGGCGACCACAGCAGCCGCGACGGCGACCACAGCAGCCGTGAAAGCGACCACTGCAGCCGCGACGGCGACCACTGCAGCCGCGACGGCGACCACAGCAGCCGCGACAGTCTCTTCTGCGGCTGTCGTAGAGGAACACGATCCTGCGGGTCTAGTTGGTCTCTCTTCAGCGCACGAGCACCGCCTGAAGACAGCAGGAGCAGCAGAGACAGCGGAGAAGACAGACACCAAAGCAGCCGCGACAGTGTCTCCTACGGCTGGCGTAGCTGAACAGTCTGCTGCGGGTCCAGTTGCCCTCCCTAGTCCCGCGCCTGAGCACCGCCTGAGGACAACAGGAGCAGCAGAGGAAGCAGAGACAGACACCAAAGCTACCGCGACATATATATATATATATATATATATATATATATATATATATATATATATATATATATATATATATATATATATATATATATATATATATATATATATATATATATATATATATATATATATATATATATATATATAATGGTGTAGTCAGTCATACACGCGCACAATTTTGATTAGCCAGTGAATTCATCATTGCGTTGCGTATCAGGCATATACGATATGAGTAAACTGAAAAAATTATGTACCTTATACAAATACAGCTGACCTGTAATTGCTACGGAATCCATTTCGTAGTTCCTACGTTATTCTATTATTTTCCGTACTACGCTACCGAAACATCCCAATTACGCTACGAAACGGTACTGACAGCTACGGGTTACCGAAAACTTCAAAATAATGGCGTAGGCCAACTCTGCTAATGGGGGCTGCATCACCCCCCCCCCCCCATGCAAGGGTTGATTCAGACCGGACGTAGGAGGCCTGGCGGGGAAAAGGGCGCTATTAAGTCGGATTCCTCGAAAACAGGTGGTGATCGGAGGCTAAAATTTGGGCAACAGACGTTCAACTTGATCCATCCAAGACGGACTTTTTGACGCATCGCAAAATTTTGAGTAAAGTCAATTCACTGACATCTAACGTTTGACCTTGGAGAGCAAGAAGACTACCCACAACGGCAAGTGACCTAATCAAGGGTAAATGGTAATGGAATGGTCACGTTTTTGCTAACAAAGTTCAAAGTTTTTCATATAATTTATTCCTGGATCTCGTATCAAATCAAATCCAAGTAGATAGACGTACGACAAATGCTCTAAGACGTCGTCGACGTCGAAATCTATGTGACACGTCGAGAGCTACTCAATGATTTCGAAGTGACATTTCGTCATTGAACCACCATTCTTCAGATTTCTGCAATTGAAACTATTATTTTGTTGTGTTGACTCTTATGCAATTATTATTTTTATTTTTGACTTTTTGTATTTGACTTTTTATCCTTTTGACTTTTAGCGTCTTTGACTTTTTTCCATTTGACTTTCTGCTTTTGAGACTTTCTGACATTTGACTTTTATATTTTTGACTTATAGCCTTTTTGACTTTTTTGCATTGACTTTAAGCTTATTTGACTTTTTACCATTTGACTTTTATCTTTTTGACTTTTCGCGGTTTTGACTTTTTGCTTTTGACTTTTTGCATTTTTGAATTTTTGCATATTTGACTTTTTGACTTTTTGTCTTTTGACTTTTTGTCTTTTGACTTTTGTCATGTAATCGTGGATGACCCCTTATGCACGTGCCACGTGCAAAACGAAGAGGTGTCAGTTTTGTAATTGTTGCAATATCTCGGTAACTACTTGGCCGATTGCGCTGAAAGTTGGCATGTAGGTAGGCACCCACTAGGCACTGCATATCCATGTGCCAGAGTTGGGGTGCTGCTGCACGTGCGCACGTGCAGGGGTCGATTCTGGAACGGCTGGACCGATTGCACTCAAATTTGGTAAACGGTTGTCGGTTACGGAGCAGTTAGTAGGGTGCCGTGCACAAGTCAGTTGGGACCCATTTTGCACGTGTGCACGTGCAGGGTGCCACTTCCAGATCTCGAGAACGGCTGGGCCGATTGTGCTCAAATTTGGCACATCGCTAGAGACCGGTTAGTAGGGTGCCGTGCACAAGTCAGTTGGAGGTACCCCCCCGCAATTTCGCACGTGCAAGGCTCACCCTCTCGCTCGCTCCGTTGGTCGCCCCAAAAGGCGTTATACTGGTTTCCAGATAAAATAACAGCGAAATCAGTTTTCGCTTGCCAATAAAACTCACAGATATTGAAGCTCCACTATTAAAGGAATATTTTAGTATAGGTATGTTATTCTTGATCAAATTTCTTAGCCACGCAATACCAGCGCAAAATAAAGAGACACTGAAAACACGACCAATCACTCCGATTTACCATAGGTAAATACATAGAAAATATGTGTCTGAACTGCGCCAAATATACAGACAGTTATATACCTACATGTGACGTCATGATTATCCCGACCAATCAGAAGCAAGTTGTTTTCAGTCACAAATAATTAATTTTTGAGCTAACTAGGCATTTTTTTAACAAAATGATTTTAAATTAAATCATAAAAAATTATCAGCTTTCTTATTTTACCAAAACATACAGTGTGGAGATAGGTCCCAACCCTATTCCATGGATTTTGGGTCATATAAACCGTATCATGAAAATGTATGGCCCGACCAACGCCTGCTGTGTAGTGTGTTCTGTGTACCGACTGACCTGACTCGGCTACTTGTGCGGCACCTAGCTGACCTGACCTGGCCGGCCGCTCTGACCGCAGCCGCTGTGGAGCCCACGTTCGAGCACTGCTGCCGCCTGGGCTCGCGGGCGGCGCGCGACGGCCAGCCCTGTCACGTGGGTGGCGCGCCGGTGCCGGACGTGGCGGCCGAGGAGCAGGCCATGTGCCACGCCGTGCAGGCCATCTGCTGTCTTCGCAAACAGCGGTAAGGCCGGCACTCTATAACGTCACTCCGATGTCATCGTAACCCGCGACCCGTTTAGGGGGGGGGGCGAAACGGCCCCCCTCTCCTTTTCAGTCGATATCTCCCAAAGTACCTATAGCAGGTATAAGACCCCCTCCGGGCACCAATTTTGCACCTTAAAGGTAGTGTGCCACCTTTGAAAGATTTCCCATTTTATTTTTCCTAGGATAAGAAGCTTCTGTTTTTACCTAATATCGCAACGAAAATCAAAATTGGGCCTGGAATAGTGCCTTTTTCGCCTAAAAGTTTATCGATTTTTCGATATGTATAACAACTGTAGTGGGCTGAGCTGCAAACAGGCGTCGGCAACAATCGCGAATGCGGCGCACATGTGACAATAAGCAAAGGTCATTATAGAGTTACGACGTACGGGAATGAGTTATCAGCTGTCTAATCGTAGACAACACAATGTCGAGCCTTAATCTGTAAGCCTGTATTGGTATTGTTTCTTTTATTTGGCTGTCGAACATTATTTATGGTTTGAAATATGATTTTATGTAAAATAATTGATATGAAAAAGCCGTCTCTTAGTTATGACCCCATTTCACCACACGCAAGTGGCAGAAATGACAATGATCAGCTGACGCATTTTTCTTGGCCGAAGTCAGAGCGCGCGGCCCGACGAACCACCACCGCACCACAAAGTATGAGCAGAAGCCGCGCCCAAAGCCAGGGCCCCGGTAACGTGAGGTAGCCGAGTCGGGGCAGCGTGCGCTGACCGAAGCCGGGGCCGCAGCTTTGGGCGCGGTCTACCGCATCCCCGCGGGCAGCCCCGGGCAATCACATGACACCGGGAGGACGCGCGGCCCCGGCTTGGGTCAGCGCACGCTGCCCCGACTCGGCTACCTCACGTTACCGGGGCCCTGGCTTTGGGCGCGGTCTACCGCACCACTTAACAGGCGTGTTCGAAACCGCAGGAGATGATGATGAACGGGTTTATCGAAACTTGATTGGATGAGCATATCGGTAATAGCGATTTCAGTGTGTGCATTTATTGTTCATAGTGGTGTGAAATGTGGTTGGGGTACGACCGACAACCCATCGGGGCGAATTTCGCACTGGGGCACTCAAAATTTGAAGAATTTAAGACGTTTCCATGAGTTTTGAAGGTATGGATAAGTTCTAAAAATCCGGTTCTCCTTATCTGGGCCATTAACTCCATACGGTCCAGGAAAGCTGGCACACTACCTTTAACACGCGCAGTGGAAGGGGGGGGGGGGCGGATTTCGCCCACCCCTCCTGTTTTTCGCCAATAACTCGCGCCGCAAGCATAATATCAATGTGACATTTTGGCTACCTGTCCAGAATTGAATTGCAGATCTTCTCGTGCAAAAAGCAAGAAAATCGGTTCACAACTTTTCTAGTAATAGCGGTGTAAAGTCAAACATCCTGCCGCCGCGGCGGCGCGGCGGCGCGGCGGCCGGCCGGTACCCTTTACCGTTTACCGCTTGTCGCTATCTTGCTTTATTCTCGAGATCTCGCTGTCGCTCCCGCTCGTAACAATGGACAGGTCATACAAATGACCTGACCTGAGGTCAACGCAGGGCGATAACCACTTTTTTATTATCGCATATGAATGACAATTGATAAGGCTTTAATCGTCATCAGACAAAATTGCAACTTTCAGTGGGGAAAATATCAAGGTCACTCTTCGAAAAATAGGTCAAAAGGTCACGTTTTCAAAATTTTCAAAAATTAAAAATATGAGATACCTAAAATGTTTGTTGGTTGATTGTGAGTTGAATCATATAAAGTTTTTATCATAGAAAACCAATAGTTTCTGAGTTATAAGCCGCCAAACATAGGGCTGCAGCGTGGCCTCCAGGAATTGCCCGAGGCTATATCTCGGAAACCGTTGTTCGAAGAAAAAAATCCTTGCCACAGCTGGCTTTCCCGCCCATCACAGCCCCTTACACCAGTTTTCAACGAAAAATAAAATATGAGGGTGCAAATTTAATTTTTTATTTGTCGATTTGTCGTGGAACGCCCCTAATGCGAGCCGATATACGCCAAATCGCGATTCCGGCCAAACATGGTCTCGGAAAAAAGGTCACAGGTTAAAGGTCATTTGGGTCAGGGTCATGAAATGTTCAGTGTAGGTGTAAAATTAATAAATGCGAGGGTGCTGAAAGTTTTGTCGCGATCGGCCGCTTTATAGGCCAGTTATTCGCGAAAAACCTTAACCCGGCAGGCGGTCGGCCTCCCAGCCACCTTCCGCGCGGTGGGGGGGCATGTTTTTGCCCCCTCGTATCTCCGAAACTACTGGACGGATCCGGAAGATTCAAACGGCGTTCGATAGCCCTGTCAAATTTGTCGAAGGAAACCAAATTTCATTGACCTCGGGGTCACCGATGACGTCACAGGTCAGGTCAAAGATAAAATGTTTCACCGTTCACTGGGCTTCTAGGGAAAGCGCTATAACACCGAGTAAAACGCATTTTGTCGAAAATCAGCGATAAGGCGTCAGTTGTCTAGTACATATGTTGCTATTAGAGGTCACTGGTCATACCAGGTCAGGTCACAGGTCAGGTCACGAAAGGTCACCAAGGGTCACCACATGAACCCAACTTTACTTAGGTTGTGCGATGCATCTTTTATGGCCAGTTTTTCATTTCCAGCTCAATGGTATTGGTTATAAGACCATCAGGTACGGTTTAGGTCACTTTCTGGTGGAGGTCAGGTCAAGGTCAGGTCAAAAAAGTTCAAATTTCAAAGTTGATATTTTTGCACAAAATGGGTATTGATTCGATGCAGCTCGTCACGGGGAGTCTAATGATCGTCTTTGTTTTGCGCTACGAGGTCTAGAATTGCTATAAATTGAGTTTGAAAATTTGACGTCATCAATTTTGAACAGTTTTTTCGCTATAACTTGGCCAAAAAAAAAAGAGGTATTGACCTCAAATTTGGTATGTAGATAGAAGGCGGTAGGGACTATCACATGTATTCCGGTTTTTTCGAAATTCAAAAAACTTTTTGGATTTTCGGCTATTATTTTCAAAAAAAAATTATTTTTTGATTTTTGGGGGTCAAAATCCAAAAATTCGAAAAACCGAAATGGCAGTTTTGTAGCCCTTTTGATTCCACACCTTTTATGTCGGAACATTTTTCTGTATCTCTAAAGCTGTAGGCCTGACAGCTCTTCCCGCGAAACCTTTTTTGGGTCGAAAATGGCAAAAATGACGTCACTCTGACGTCATTAGCAGCCAACCTATCATAGCCTTTGGAAAAAACTGTGGTCACCATGTGCGCTAGCTACTCCCGGGAGGGTACTGAAAGTTTTGTGACGATCGGCGCAGCGGTTCTCGAGATATATCCAAAAAACTTAAGGGGGGCTAAAAAATGCCCCCCACCGCCTGGAAGGTTAAAGGGGACCCTCCCACCTTCAAAAAAGTTAATGAATTGACATGAAAGTGATGTCGCTCGGTTCAGAAAGAGCAAAAACGAATATCTACCAAATTTCATCGAAAAATATTCACCGGTTTTCAAGATATTAGACTTTTACTTTTGTTTATTTTTTGGGATCTCCGCTGTTCCTAGCGACTTTATTTGAAAGTGCGGCATTTGCTGCGCGCAAAGCAGCATATACCACCGCGTGCTACAAAACGTTTTAGTCAAACATTTAAAAATCGTTAGATATCTGCGCTGACGTCACACATTCAAAGGGGTATTCCTATGCATTAGCCCCTCTGAATCAAAATGCTGCAATTTTGAAATTCAATATTTCCGATTTAAGGCATTTCTCGATGTTGTGAGTGCCGAAACTGGTAATTGTGAGCCAGGGACCCCACTTTGGCTATCTCAACTCAAATCTAATGTTAAGGTGGGAGGGTCCCTTTAAGCCTGATACAGACTCTTTCCGCACTCAGGAAATCGCATGCGAGAGCCTATTCAAATACATGGAAGCACGCTCGCATCAATCGCACGCACCTCCTGGATGCGATTGATGCGGGAAGTATTATAATGCATTTGAATAGGCTCTCGCATGCGATTTTCTGAACGCGGAAAGAGTGTTTCAGCCATTAGGGGGTTGCATCAACCCCCCCTGTGCCGGCGAGGGTTAAAGCTAGATCCAATTTCTTTGCATCAGTGGACAATAAATACACGTAGCTATCTAACAACTATCTCGAATTTTCGAAATTTTGAAAAATATTTTTTTTTTACAATAACAATTTTTTTTCTTAAAAACGTTTTGATTTTTCGCAAAAACCGGAATAAATGTGATAGAACACACACTGATAAACTACCCTAACAAGTTTAAGCTTAATGTCTTTAAAAATAGCCAAGTTATGTGCATTATTGTCAAATTTTTACAATTTTGCATTTTTCAAAGTCATTTTTAGTACGTTTTTGACATCGTACAGCAATATAAATGGCACCATCGTGTTTCTGAGTTCAAACTGCATCTGATAGGCAACTGTTTTGTTGAAAATTTCATTTTCAAAATCTTATCTTTTCTGACCTAAAATTGACCTGAACTCCGGTAAGTTCAGCTGAAAATGACCTAAAATGACACAGATGACATTATTTTCGAAATTTACGTGTAAAATGGATCATGAAACATGCGTCAGGTGACCGATACATGACATACAATTTTCGCGACCTAGGATGACCTGGCCTTGACCTGAAAAAAATCGAAGTAAAAGTTCGGTACCCTCACGGCATCTAAGGCATATATATGAAGGAGTGTGTAAACCAAAAATGAGCCTGATCGGACTTGTCAGCCGCCGGCCAGAGCCTAAATTGTAAGTGTTACCGAATGTGAACACGCCGCCAGTTTGACAGTCATGAGCGGCGATTGTGGCACCCCTGGCGGTGCGCTTTGGAAGTTGTAGTTGAGAGTCGCAACAGCTGTGGGTAGCGCCGGGAGGGCGGCCATAAGCAGGGTATGTTGAGTGAAGCCATAAGCGTGTGCGACGTGCCCCGTGTCGGCCGTCGGGCTGACCCCGATTTTGTACTTCGTATCGTTATCGTATCGACCATATCGTATCGAGTGTATCGTTCGGGTTGAAGTTCAATACGACCCATGGTGTGTCAAAAGTGGAAATAGCCGGTGCGCCGTCTGGCAACCCGGCGCCCGCCGCCATAGGGAAATTCATGCTTTTTGTCGCTTTTTCGCTCCCTATGAGTCACTTGATCTAATTAGAGCTTAACTAGGAACGAGGCGGGTCTCAACGCGCCAGTGGCGCCTCTACCGGCAGGCATCGGTAGGATTGTGATTGCAGGATTGCAAAATCCTGATTGCATTCCTTTTTTGGTGGATTGCACCTGAATTTGAAATCCATTCAAAAAAAAAACAGGATTTGATTGCGGATTGGATTGCATCATACTTCCAATTTTTGCAATCCAATCCGGATTGTGTTTGATAAGTGCTTTGAAATGGTTTGTTGCGATTGAAAATTATGAGATCGGCTTCATCGGCTTCATGTACTTTGCTATCAAGGGCTTTAGGTACATCGAAACTTGAAATAATTTAAACGCTTTTAATTTAAACGCTCAAAATAATATGCGCTGATGAACTACATAGTACATAGGAAGGGCAAAATTACGTATTTGAGGGCGAGTTTTAAAAATATAAAACACTGGTTGGGTAGAGGTTTAAATGTGGGGGTGTTTGAGGCAAAAAAAAAATATTTCCCATAAAACACATGTGCCTTAGATAGGAATTACTCGCAAGACTAGGTAATAGAAATGGGTGATTTGGGGATGGAGGCACGGCCCTATGCCCCTCTCCCTCCCCCAGATCCACTAGTGCACATAATAATACAACAGGATTGCAAAAAAGGATTGCGGATTTGATCACAATCCAAGTGAAAAAAGGGGATTGCGGGTAGGAATGCAATCCACTTCGGCACTAGGAATGTGGATTGGGAATGCAATCCTTTCAAAAAGGATTTTACCGATGCCTGTCTACCGGCTCAGCGGGCTAGTAAGGCTCCGCCTTTCTCAGTGACCGGCGTTGATTTTTGTGGCCCACTCTTCTGCTTGCCCAAGCAGAAGCACTCTTCTGCTTGCCCAAGCAGAAGGTGTATGTCTGTCTTTTCACATGCGCTGTAACTAGAGCCATTCACCTCGAGTTGACGATTCCTTGTCCCTGTCAGGTTTTTTGCTGGCGTTCAGAAGGTTCTGTGCCAGACGTGGTACCCCCACGATGATGTATTCGGACAATGCCAAGACGTTTAGAGCCGCGGCTACCAGCCTGTTGGCAGAGCTGGGTCCGGCGGGCCCAGAGTGGAAGTTCATTGCCCCCCGCGCGGCATGGTGGGGCGGTCACTGGGAGCGGCTGGTTCGTACTGTTGAGAGCTCCCTGAGAAAGACTCTCGGCAGGAGCGTCCTCTCCAAGGTGGAGCTGGAGACGCTGCTTGTGGAGGTGGAGGCCTGTGTAAATTCTCGTCCACTAACCTTTGTCAGTGACGATGTGGACGGAGCTCGTCCTCTAACCCCGAGTCACTTTCTGTCCGGCAGAGTAGCCGGTATTCGAGCGTCTGTGGTTGATGATTCGGAACAGGTTTCAGCCTCGTCCCTGACTGAGAGGGACGTTGAGCGCCAGAACATGTTGGCGAAGTTCTGGAGTGTGTGGCAGACGGATTACCTCCTCAGCCTGCCGCATTCGGTTAGGAAGTTTAAATCTCGTGGGAAGCTCCAGATAGGTTCCGTTGTTCTCATTCGGGGGGACAATGTCCCGAGGCTGCACTGGTTGATGGGAGTGGTCGAACACCTTCATCCGGGCAGTGACGGTGTCGTGAGAGCCGCCGACGTTAGGACGGCTCAGGGCGTTCGTACTCGGCCAGTACAGCGTCTGCATGACTTGGAAGTCATCGATTAGGAGTATCTTACGTTCCGATGCACCGTGCTTTGATGAAGCGTTGCGAGCATTGTCATCGTTGCGAGTGTTATTATGTCGTGTGTGTCTTGTCGTGTGTTAGTTTTAAGTGAAGTGTCTTATCTCGTTTGCTGTTAGACCGTTAATGTATGTTACCGTTCTAACAGTGTTACCGAATGTGAACACGCCGCCAGTTTGACAGTCATGAGCGGCGATTGTGGCACCCCTGGCGGTGCGCTTTAGTTGAGAGTCGCAACAGCTGTGGGTAGCGCCGGGAGGGCGGCCATAAGCGTGTGCGACGTGCCACGTGTCGGGCTGACCCCGATTTTGAATTTCGTATCGTTATCGTATCGACCATATCGTGTCGAGTGTATGGTTCGGGTTGAAGTTCAATACGACCTGAAGCTATCGTTACTCGTTTCGTAACAGTAAGCAAGCAAAAATGCCGATAATTTTTACTTTGAGCTGACCTGTGACGTCATCGGTGACCTCGAGGTCAATGAAAATAGGTTTCGCTCGACAATTTTTCTAGGGTTATCAGACGCCGTTTGAATTTTGACGTTCGGCCCCGTAGTTTTGGAGATAAGAGGGGGGGGGGGGGGGCTCTGGAGAGTCACTCGCGTTATGGAAAATACCCCAGTCATGCGCGGGTTAACATTGGGTATCAACGGCTTCCTCTCGTCACGGGCAACACGCTCGTTTTCCCGCGAAGCTCTAACTCGACCAGGGGCCAAACGCGAGGAAGGGGGTCGCACTAACCGTCGCACCAACCAAGTGCCGTCAAAGGACGCAGATTTTCCTGTGCCGGCGAGGGAAATTCTACCACTCGCCAATATTGTTGTTTTGCCAGCCGCGATCGTTTTTTTTTTTTTGCAAAGTTATTTACCAAAAACCGAACCCGTGATAAGGGGCACTTGATCTGACTTCAGAGGTCACCGGTAGACCTGAGACCTCAGAAAAGGGTATCATTCGCGGCGTTTTGTAACGGCGCTTTAGGTCGTTTTTCCGCAAGACTCAAGCTTCATCAGGGGCGAAACAGAGAGCTGGGATAGTAGCATCCCCCCAACCCATTTTGTTTGCAGGAATATGAGGAACTTTTTGAAATAATATCCTTCTAGTTTTTTTTTTGCATGTCGATTAGCAATGACCTGATTTTTTTGGGAAAAAATGCAAAAAATGTTGGTCCCAAAAGCCATTAGAGGCAAAGGGAAAAGATAACGATATTTCTAAAAGATAGAACTGTTCTTCCAAATTATTACAATTTCTGATTCATCGCAAAATCAGTGATGTTAAACGTTTGTCGCCTGCTTAACCCGTTCTCGAGTTACCTACAGTCCATCAAAGTCACCCTTTTAATCCGCAGTTAAAAAAACGCTATGCAAAATAACTGAAAAAGTTTTATCTGAGAAGTCTGATATTTTGGCAAGCGTCTTTGGGGCCTATGATTAACCCTAGGACCGATTTTCATTCAAATCTGAGAGACGAGGGTGACAGGGAAAGCTTGCTGTGTAACAGACTATAAGCAAGTTTTGATTTTGCAACGTCTTGGTCATTAACCTGACCGAAAAGGTCAACCAATGACCTAGGATATAAAAACTGGGTATCATAGCTCCTCTCGTCGCAGGCAGCAGGCTCGTTTTTCCGCGAAGCTCCAGCTCGATCAGGGGTCCAAAGGATGGGAGCGGGGGGGGGGGGAGGAAGTGGTCCATCGGTCGCTCTCTCATGTAAGTACATACGTTAGCAGCTGGCAAAACACTACTAGGGCGCGGATTGGCGCCCCTTTGTATGAATAGTTATGGAATCCGCCCCGGAAGCTCACTGAGTGCGCCGTCTGCGGTTTCTGACGATTGTTGTTGTTCCCGCGTCTTGTTGCAGCCAAAAGCAGTGTTCAGCCGGCACCGAGGCGGCGAAAAACCAGCAACCGTGCCTGCTGGATCAGCCGGCGCCGGCTCGCCAGTACTATAAGGTAGGCGGCGGCTGAGCAGGGCCAGACAGGCCACGACGGATCGACCAAAACATCTCCAAATAACATACTAACTCCCAGATTTTGATTAACCAGCGCATGAGCGGGGCACGGGCTTCACAGAACTCCTCACGTTTTTCTGCATTATTGTCGTTTGATTGCTTTTTGAGGCCAAACATTTCTGTTGTGGAAGAAATATGCATCCCATCATAGGTGTACCCACGTATTGGATTATGATACACTTTCTTTTTAAGAATTTGAAAGCTGGCTGCAAAGCTATTGAAAACAATCGATGACTTTTGCTAACATTGATAATGATCATGCCACGATTTGTATAGCTGAGACCTGCTGTGAAATTGTTTTTTTTCCTGGACCTGACCCTTATACGACCTTAGATCATTCACATTGCATTACCTTAAAGGAAAAGGGCCACCTTTAACATGGGGATTGAAACTGAGATAGCCATCTTGTAGCCCGTGTCCGAAAACCTATCTGGCTACCTCCTTACGGCCGATTTCGGCCTCCATTCGTAGTTATCGGCAATTTTAAAAGAAAATACGCCAGGAATGCGTTCTTATCCCAGGAATGCGTTCTTATCCGACAATACAGCCACCCGCGGCGAGGCTTTGGTTTTTTACCAATCAGCTCCAACCAGCTCAGCCTTAACCAATCAGCTTATCTGACACAATCCGACGAGTCTGTCTTCTGAACGCTGATTGGCTTGAGTGTGACGTCATCGCTATGCCATCATACAGTAGGTGCCGTAGAGAGTATCAACATAGTACCAATATGTTAAATAGTTTTAAATACTTTTTCGCGAATTGTGCACTTCTGGCACCAGTTTTAAAAAGAAAATGAAAAATAATAATGTCAAAATGAAAAACAACGATATCTTCATATTTCACGAAGGTGGCCCTTTTCCTTTAAGGGGTAATTTCGAAAGTGGGAAAGTAGAACCGTCCTGGCGAGTCGATTGGTGCCATTTTTAGCGCTCTAGATCCACTGAGGATGGGATGGACAAATTGAGACAAGTTTCTACGCGGTTGTACAGGGACCCGCAGTTGCTACTGTACACATATATTACCAATTTAGAATTGTGCTATTATTTGCTAAGTGCTGGCCATTGGAGAAAGGAAATGTAGCGCAAAGTATGGAGGAATAACACATGTTTGCTCCTAGGACGTATTTTTTTATAATTCCTCTTACCGCAACAGATATTCTTCCAAAACTACAATCGTGCTATTTTTCCGCGCCGGTTGCCTCCCCAGAGCCCGTCCTTGGTATCGCCTATAGCTTCCGTTCTCGCTACGTGAATGAAAGTCACGTGACTACTACAGGTTTGCGCTCAGTACTAACACACCTAGCCCGAGGGCCGGTCCGTAGCGGGGAGGGGTAGAACGCCTGAGCTCCAGCGCAGTGGAGGTGGTGGTGGCCCGTATCATAAAGAGGCAACCGTAAGCAGAACTACAATTGCCGCAGTATAAGATTATGATCAAGTTTTCTTTAGATGTATTGATTGATAAGAAAGTGCAATGCTTATCTGATATAATAAAACGGTGTCCAAGGCTTTGGAAGAACTATAAAACATATTCAGCAACGTATAAATTTCTGATACAGGCCATGACCTTTCACCTTGCCTCCGGGGAGGACCGCTCAGGAAGCCACATACCGAACGAATCGAGGCCTCGCAGCGCGGCGGCAGAGGAGGTGGATAAACCATCGCCAGATCTTTCGGTTACTTATGTTTCCAGAAGAAGGAGGGGGGGGGGGGTGGAGGGTGAGGGCTGTTTTCAACCCACTCACCAATCCTTTCCTCATTAACTTATAGCTTACCGAAAAAAATGCAACACAATGGTGGCCGTCACGAGATGTAGCGAAAAGTGCCTCAGCCACACCGGTTTTGAGTAAACGTTTAGCATTGGAATTCAGGCCAGTGATCCTGAAGCATTATTTTATTTTTGTCGTGCATAAGCTGGGATGACGTGGTCCAAGTTAATTGCGAAGAAACGGTTTTAGTTTCAGAACATTTATGAGGCTAGTCGCGCCAAATAGTATACGTTTGTTGTAAAATGTCAAATAGAATGTTGACGTGCTATCCAGATGATGGAATTTATTTGACACTAGAAGTCAAAAAGTGGCATCGTTAGTCATCCTGCATACCTATAAATCGATTCGTCGCCTTGGTTCGAGTTCAATAGTTCTTTTCGCGGATGATCGGTTTCGTTTTCGTTTTCTTGGGGGGGGGGGATGTTCATGAGCCAGTAACCACCCTCCCCAGTCCCCCAAACAACAATTGTTGACAAATACTGTGATGGCCTAAAAATGCCCTCAATTGTGTTACGGAGGGAAGAATGAGGTAAGTTGAGCCGCCTTTTGTTTTTCGTAAGCTACAGGCTAACTTACTGATCATTTTTTCTGCGTTTACGGGTTGGACGGACAGAGTGGTCATTGCGCATGTAATGGTGGCCAGAAATGTTTCACACCGCTTCTTTTTGCACTGAAAGGCTACGTCAAAAATCATCTGGCACGTTGCTCATCTTACCCCATGGGCGAGGTAAGTTGAGACACGTCGTGGGGAAAGTTGAGCATGGATAGAAATGCGAACCTCTTCTTTTCCCGGGCGCGGCGAAGAGTGCAGGGCTCTTTTATTTACTCCATGACATACATACTTACGGCAGTTTTTTTCTGCATTAAAAAGTGACTGTTTTAAGCCTTCCAATAACTCGTCAAGTTTTCTATCATGGAAGAAATCATTTTATCCTTCAGATAATCTGCAAATCACTTACAACTTGTGAAATCAACAAATAAAAACAATTTCCTACGATTTTTATTCAGCAGAAACAAGCGCAGCTCAGTTTGGTTTTCGACAGCGGAGACAACAATGGCTTATCCGGCTCATCTTCCCCCAGGTGAAAATGGGTCATCTTGCCCTACCCTTGGCCATTTTCGGTTAATGACACCCGCTAAGGAAAATAACCATGCACCGCAGATAATAACCATCTCATTTTAAAAGCAAAACATGTCTTAGTTATCAGGGGCGATACCACATGTTACCGGGTGCTGAGCGTGAGAACGTTGCCGTCTCACGTGAAAGACTGCAGCATCGTAAGCGAACGGCACATGGAAGCTCAAGTCAATTAGCGCCATAGGAGCTGAGAAACATGGGGTGGCTAAACTTGCCCCTTGGCTCATCTTACCTCACTCTCCCCTATTTGGGGCTCTCAACCTTGATTTGTTAAAGTTATTTGTCTGTTCATTATAAAAGCTGTCAAATTTGCCGTATCATTAAACTTTTATTGAGTTTGTATTTCACACTTATCTAAAATGAACAATTTTGTCACTGGCTTCTTTTATGAATGGAATTGGATGGTCGCATGAATGAACGAATGAATAGCTCCATTTGAGCATCAGCTGAAATCAATCCTAAAATTTAATCTACCAGTCTGCAACGAAAATGTTTAAAAACCAGTGCAAGTTAGGTGCAGTTTCTAATCTATGCCGTTTTTTTATTAAGTGTCTCATAGCTCCTTAATCTTGAGCCGCTTCTCTCACGATTCATTTTATGTGGTGCTTACATTGTTCAAGAAGTTATAGTATTCGAGCTCGTTGGTCTTAAAAACTGCTATCGAAGTAAATTAAAGTGCTTCGGGCTTCGGCACTTAAAAACCAATCGATATTTAACCCTCACCCATTCAGGCATCTCTTTTCAGCGTCTTACATGTAGCGGAGGGGCGTAGAAACCCTCAGCCATTCGGCCCTTGATAAAAAGAGCCAGAGCTTCGCTGAAAAATAAAAAAGAGCGAGCTGCTCGTGACGAGAGAAATCCGATGATTTGAGGGTCCTGGTCATCGCTGACAAGAAAAAGCCAATCATTTTTATGTCTTGGTCAATGCTGAGATCCTATATAGTCACTGGTTGACCTCCCAGATCAGGTTAATAACCCAAAAGCACGGAAAATTGGGTCCTGCTAGAATATCTGCAAGTGAAGTTTGCTGGGACTTGGCTTGCTTCTGACTCCGAATTTGCACTTGCCTTGATCAAAGATGATGTATCAAAGCATTTGGGGTAGGACGGGTCACGCCAGATCACCCATTAGGCGTTCTGCCGGCTATCCATAGAATGTTAACCAGCACTTACAACCTTGCAACATATTGCATAGGCACTATAACTGATACCTAAGTAAGTATGCCTAGTTCTCAAATGCTAAAACGGGTGCTAAATTTCAAACCAACACTTCCTAAAAACCACAGTAAAAAGGTGTAAATTTAAGGAAGTTGACCGAGATCATTTCAAGTAAATGACCTTAACCTGAGTTTCACGTGACCTTGGCACCCGTAACAATCAATGAGACAAACATTAGATAGTATAGGTATTTCACATGTTGTCACGTTGCTAATCACGAAACGACTATGGAAACACACAGATGTGCGCTGACTATCAATTGCTATTCTGGCCTGACATGATCTTCAGTTAGTAACCATAACAGCGAAACGGCTTATTGTAACACAATTCATTGTGTATACGAAACCTACAAGTCCCTAAAAATAATCCTATTTACAACTTTTAAAAAGACACAGCTTATACAGCTTGGGCATACAATTTTTTTTTGCATTTAGAATTAAGATAATATTCATTCATCTCCACAGAATATGGTAAATTAGTGCTGCTGAAGTTCGCTTTCGAAGCGTCTCCTTCAGGCATTCCACAGCTCTCGTGCCATTTTGGATCACGGAACATGGCTGGGCGCAGGACAGGTCGTCTGCGAGCTTGGACGGACCACGTGACCACCTCCTCCACTCCCCCTCACTCCCGTCCCCTTCCCCAGCAGGGCGTCCGATCTAACCGCGCCTCAGGCAGTCGGCTCGGTCCGACCCTCCCCATGGTCGAGCCACGGCCCGGTGCCGCCTGAGTTTGTGCCGGGTGCAAAACTGGAGCAGTAACTAGCGCCGGAACTAGTAGTCAGCACGACCATCGTCAGATGGCAGGAGTAAATGGAATAAGCG